ACCTTGCTCCTTATGCAATTCTTCCAACTGATTCGTCTCTAAAAATGTAAATCCCCGTTTCTTCATATCCTTCTTCTGTTTTTGATTGAATGTCTTCTCAAGGTTCGTAAATATTTTTGCTATTCGCTCAGTGACTTCCTTCAATTCACCTTGCATTCCAAAGAGTTCCGTGCTTGACAGAGTCTAAAATTAAACATTAAGACTTTCGGAGAAAATGATGTACACGTACCTTCATGGCATCATCTACAATCTGTCGAGCACCTGTCATTTCCATAATGGACTCAAGCACTTCCTCCCGATCTTTTTCTGGCATACCAGTAGCGTCAAGGAGCTGAACGGAAAGATCAACTATTTATTGATATGATTCATTTGATCTTTAACCTTCCTCAATAAGTTCGTGAAATCAATTTAAATCAAGTTGAAGGTGATAATTGAAAGCTGGCAGGTGCTAAATACTCCATCGCCGTTTACGTCGACGTATAGCAATAAGAGGGCAGTGTAGAAAGGAACGAGTAGCTCAGCTGTAGCTAATCGTGACAATTTATTGCTACTTAACTGATTGGACGAACCTTTCCGCGAAGTTTAGAGTTCTGACTTAGAAAAAGGCTTGTATCCTAATTATTATAGTTACATAATCATATGTCAACAAATCAGATAAGAACGCTACTAGGCTTATTTTATTAAAATAGGCTAACCACTGAAAAAAGGTCTCTAGAAATTATTTACACGGTTTTGTTCTGTCAAGTGCATTTTCAATTTTATGCCAACTTCAATTGAGTAACAGCAATGCCTATTTCCGTAAAAGCACCGTTAATCTTCACAATCAGCGCTGAGGCTACCATACAACTGTAAATTATTTACCTTTGGTATGGGCAGCAGCTGATCTTCGGTGTCATCTTTGTAGAATGAAAAGATTGAGGGTGACAAAGAGCCTCTAATGTCGGCCTTGTCCGGCATTACAGGAGCAAATCGGGGACTGCAAGCAAACTGCTGTTGGAGCGATCTCAATGCTATCATAGTATATAAAAGTTAGGGGTGAGTTGTAGGAACAAAGATGATGAAGAGATTGCGAAATATAGAAGGAGAAAAATACTG